TCTTTAAAATACCAGAATAGGGAGGACTGAGTAGGATTAAGTTTATTAGATTGATCAGTATTGCTGAACTATGAAATATTTTGGGTGCAGTGCATTTTTGCTTACAGGTATAACAGAATAGCTTTAGTGTTTTTTTTAACTTGAGTATGAACTTATACAAAAAGCAGCAAGATATTAAAAAAATATTTTTTATTGATTAAAAAACACACTATATCGGATTCATATCGGTATCGGCAGATATCCAAATTTATGATATTAGTATCGGACATGAAAAAGTGGTATCGTGCCATCTCTAATAGAAATACACCATTATACAGTACACAAATCCTCTCTTGTTAAGCAAAAGACTGTAATTAACCTCCACAGCATACTTCTACCACTAGATGGCAGAAATGGCACAAAAAAACAAAGACAGAAAAAACAGAGTAATTGTAAAGTTCCATGCAAAGTATTTAGAGATAGTAAAGGTAAACATCTGGTGAATTAAAAACTGTTAAATGTCATCTTAAAAAAATGTACGATGAAGTTGAGGATTTGTATATCTTGTATATACAGGATGAGTAAAACTTAAAATATATCCGTCCTGCTAATAATGTGACAAGATAGCATGAATATGTAATTCTCTACAGGTTTCTGCTTCGTCTGAGGGGGATGCTGTTCTTTCAAAAAAAGACATGGAAATACTATCATACATTACAATAATTGGCTGTAGCTTTTCTCTTGTTGCCCTGGTCATCACCGTTTTACTTTTCATCACAAACAGGTAATTTATTCTTCTCTGGTTGTATTTTCCAAACTCTAATTATTTTTTCCCTTTTCAGGATCTGAAATGAGTAAATTCCACCTTGTATTTATTATTATTTACTATATATTTACTTCCATTTTCTGGCACATTTGTGCACCAATGTGTTTCTTTTTTTGCTCCTTCCCATTTTTTTTTCCTTTTTTGTCAATTTTTTCCCCACCATCTGTGTTTTGCAAAGGTCATCTTTTTTCATTCTTTTGTAAAATTTTAATATAAAGTTAAGATATGACCGATAGAAAGTTATTTACAACAAATCCCTTCTTCTCTGTCCAACAGGACACTCAGAGAAGATCTTTCTATGAACATCCACATCAATCTCGTCATCGCCCTGATCCTCCTCAACCTGCACTTCCTGCCCAGTCAGGCAGTGGCAGCACACCCCTCCACTTGGCTCTGTTTCTACATGGCTCTTGCCCTTCACTACTCCCTGTTGGCCACTTTCACCTGGATGGCCTTGGAGGGGTTCCACCTCTACCTTCTCCTAGTTAAAATCTTCAACATTTCTGTCAGCAGATACATTCTCAAACTCAGTGTGGTGGGATGGGGTAAGTGGAATCCTTCAAACAGGAAGCGGTGGTTATTAGCAGTGTTGGGCAAGTTACTTTGAAAAAGTAATTAATTATAGTTACTAGTTACTTCTTCAAAAATGTAACTGACTCAGTTACTGAGTTACAAGATCCTAAAAGTAATTAATTACATGAAAAGTAACTATTAAGTCACTTTAAAAAAAGGTTTAACCCTCTGGGGTCCAGGGTATAATTGGCCATTTTAAACCACTTTTGATTTTACCTCTACATTTAACCTTTAAAAACGATTTACTTTACTTTGTCTGGTATCATTCTTTTCAGCACAACCTCACGTCTGAATTTACAGTTGTGTTTTCATTTTGACATTCTGTATTAACACAGTTGATCTAAAATCAGACAAGAAAAACATAAAATCTGAGTAGAAAGTTATATTTTTTACTGCAGCAACCACAGACATGTTTAATGATCATATTTCAGAACTTTAAATGCAAATATAAATGATCAATTTTAAAATCCTATGCACAAGTTTTGCCAACAACAAAGTTATCTGCTGCAATTTACCTTTTACCCTCTTTTAAAAAAAAAAACATTTCAAACTGTTGACATAACAATCAGCTGTTCTGCATTAAATAAGATTCCACACAAATTATTTGTGCCACTCCAAAAAATAATTTCTGTCCACTATAAAGGAGAACATCACAGCCTGATACCTGCAGGTCTGACAGCAGCAGGTGTATCACTCCTTTTTTTACCTGGCGCCTCATTGTTCTGACACACAACACAAAACTATCTACAACACTACACACTAACTACACAAGACAACACATTAACTACACACTCCAAACATGCTGAAGGTCACAAATCTCTCACATCTCAAAACTCGCTCTCTCTCGTTTTCTGCTGTTTCTCTCTCGCTCTTTCTCGCGGTCACTCCTTAAACTTCCCCCTCTTCCTAAACAACCAAATGTCATGTTGCCATATCATTTTTGATTGGTCGACATGGTGCATTTTTTCACCAACTGTTTTCTGTTTTATTTTTTGGTCATAAGCAGAGAGTGCTTGCTAGCGCTGTCCTTAGACAGTAAACGTGACGAAACTATTGAGGAAAAAACGCCGCGTATATATATTGATTATCATGACTCTGGTTTTACGTGGCCTATCAACACAACTGGTATATATCACTTTGTCATCTTGAAGTGGTCATATGATTAGCTTACCACAATTACTTTATTCCTCCTTAGTCAAACAGCAGCACTCATGTGAAAGTTTGCCCCCTTATAGAATAGAATAGAATAGAATAGAATAGAATAGAATAGAATAGAATTCAACTTTATTGTCATTGCACATGCACAGGTACAGGGCAACGAAATGCAGTTTGCATGCATCCAGAAGTGCTTTAGCCATGATATAGATATATTACAATATATGTAAGCTCCAGGTCTTGTGCCAAAAAGTGATTGTGATTGCCATCCGCCGGAGCGCGCACAGCTGCTGAAAGCTGTAGTGCCCAGATTACTTATGTGCGTTAAGCTGAACACAGCTTCAGCTGTCTGTTTGTTGAAAAATAGTAACGCAACAGCACAGCATTTTCTTGTTAGTAACCGTAACTGCGTTGTAACGATAGAAATAGTAATCAGTAATTAGATTACTTGTAACTTAAAAACGTAACGCCGTTAGTAACGCCGTTACTTGTGATGCCATTATTCGCATCACTGGTTATTAGTCAGCAAACTTCAGAGTGACTAATCAATTCTTGTGTTTCAGGTGTTCCTGCAGTGATTGTGTCAGTGGTGGTGATCATAGACAGAGGCTTTTATGGCCATGTCCTTCTAGACAAGTCAAACCATGATGACACTAAAATGTAAGGAAAACCTTTTAAAGGGTATGAAATTAGGAATTATAATTAATGTTTACTTATTAACTGTTTTGGATGTGTATTAGAAATTCAATATATATTTCAATGTTTTAAATTGTCTTGTACAGCACTTTGCTCAACGCTCCTGCTGTAATTAAATGTGCTATATAAATAAATAAACTATAAATTAACAAGTGGAAAAAAATATTAAGCAATGCTGAGACACTCAGTCATCTATATACACTCAACAAAAATATAAACGGGTAAGATGAAATCACTGTCTATTTCCTTTCTTTGTAGATGCTATATATCTAATGAAATAGTGAAGGTGGTCACTACCACTGGACTGTTCACCATGGTGTTCCTCTTTAACATGACCATGTTTATGGTGACAGTCAAGCGTGTTTTGAATGTTGGGTATAACAAAGAGGTATGAGTTATTCTTGCAATCTTTTTTAAATGAACATTAACCATTGATATTTCCAATAATTAGACACTGAAGAACAGCTTTTGTTCATACACAATTCAAGGCCTCTGTTAGCTTCAGATTGTCAATAACCTGCTGTGTCATATGTCATTGTGTATTTGACAAATTAGTTTGGGCAGCTTCACCATAAACAGGTCAGGAAAGCAATTTGCGCCCTGCTGGGTGTCAGCGTTCTGCTCGGGATTACTTGGGGCCTGGTTTTCTTCTCATTTGGTTACCTGACCACTGTTGCCCTCTACCTCTTCTGTGTTCTGAACTCCCTGCAAGGTCAGTATAGTTTGCTCCTATTCATTTATCTCACTTCTTTAACGACTTCGGTCACTGTGAGTGCTGAAGCTGGCATTTTAAAAACATGCATATGCAGCGCCAGGGTAACAATGCATTAAACAACAGCCATTTGGCTGCTGTTTATGCTATATATGGTATTTTTTACAAAATCATATGTTGGGGTCTTATTTTAGGTTTATGAAACCTGTTTATGCTCAACAGTTAATAATAGGAACGTAAACTTTTTTATAGGCCAGTTTGGGAATGTTACAGTGTTGGGATTGAATGAGTGATGCATAATATTAATATACATCCTTATTCTTGGAGCAGATTTTTGACATTACTGTTATATACTCTGTATGAAACAGTAATGTCTGAAAGAGTTGAATATCAGTTTCGTTTGCATGATTTGTACTTCTTGTACACAGCCTAAACCTATTTCACCGTTTCTCCTCCCGTATGCTGTGCAGGGTTCTTCATCTTCCTGTGGTTTGTGAAGTCACTGAGAAAGGGTAAAAGCTCTGCCCCTAAGATAAGCAGTGAAGCAACTTCCCCCAACAGAAAGCTTAACAAAAACTAATAGCTCAAGAACTGAGTTGTTGGAATTTTTGTCTGATATTATTATTTCTGCTTTAGGTTGTTTACAGCGACTGATTTTTAAATTATTTAAATGAATGTGATATTTGTGAAAATTTTAAAGGCACTATTTAAATGTTATGTTTGATGCTTTGTGATTATAACAGACTATACATCCAGTGTAAAATAGGGCACTTCTGGGAGTGAAAGTTATAAATGCTGATATGATGCATCTTCATTCATTTTGTGTGTGAACCAACTGCCATTGGTTTCAGTAGCCTGGGTAATTTTGATATTGTCATGCAGATTACACCATCACTGTTGTGTTTTGCTGTATACTTATATCCTATTTCATGTGATATTTGAAATGTCTTTCCTATATCTTCTTATCACATATATAAAATAAAATATATGAATCCTTTCAATAAAATCATGTATATTTGAACCTCTATTTGCACACGTTGTGAGTTGCATACATTCACATTTCACTAGAATCTGTGTTTATGAATGCAGACATATTGCTGCCTGATGTTTTGAACTATTGAACATGTAAAATTAACATTTCCAACTGCAGCTATAAAAACAGAACCTTCTTCAACAGGTTGAAATTTAAATATGACTGTTATGTAAGTGGCTAAAGTAAATAGCTTTTATCAAAAGATAGTCCAAGTTTAAACTATACTCTTTCTGTACACATCGGTGTTTCTGCCTCAGGTCATTGGTGTAGTTGATGATAGGGAGTTGGTTTAACCACATTCAGGTCTCTAAAAGCATCACTTACTCTAAAATTGTCCGGACATTAAACTCAACCTACGGTAACCAGATGCCAAGAAATAAAGCTCCTACAATAATACAGTAAACAGAGAAAAGCCCAACAATCATATGACACCCTATGAGCATAATAACTAATGATTAAATGCAGAGACGTGTATAAACACGTAGTGAATGAAAAGGGTGGCTGAAGAAAAAGCACTCACTGATGTGCTGTTTGAGTGAGTCAAGATATTTAACAGTAACAGCTTTGAAAGTTATAACACATGGTGACACAAGATATATGTCAAGCTTTTATAAACACTGGAATAAGTGTCTATATGACTACCGCCCAGTAGCCCTCACCCCCATCATCACAAAGTGCTGCTAGTCCTAGCACACTTTAAATCCTGTCTCCCACCCCACCATGGACCCACACTAATTTGCATACTGTCAGAACAGGAACTCAGAGGATGCAGTCTCCATCGCACTGCACTCTGTCCTATCACACCTGGACAACAACAACACCTACGCCAGAATGCTGTTTATAGACTTCAGTTCAGCATTCAATACAATCCTCCCCTCACAACTCATCAGGAAACTGACAGACCTGGGCATCAGTTCCCTCATGTGCAAATGGTTACTGGACTTCCTGACCAACTGCCCCCAACATATCCAGCTGGATAACTGCTGCTCATCTACAATCACAATGAACACCGGGGTACCACAAGGCTGTGTGATGAGCCCTTTCCTCTACTCCCTCTTCACCCACCACTGCAGACCTACCAGTGGTTTTAGCATCATCATTAAGTTTGCAGATGACACCACGGTGATTGGCCTCATTAAGGACAACGATGAGGGAGGAGGTGGATCGTCTGGCTGAGTGGTGCGACACAAACAACCTACTGCTTAACACTGAGAAGACCAAGGAGCTCATCGTGGACTACAGGAGGAATGCTGACCTACATCCACCCATCTACATTAAGGGGACGGAATGCATGTTAAATTTTAAATCTGCCTGTTCTCTTTCAGAAACCTGCCTGCAGAAAATTAACCTAAAGTATGTAATGCAAGGATGTCATCACTTTCAAGATGGAGAAAGCATGAAGTGACAATTATGAATCACTTAATATGATAAGGAGATTCTGCAGGTCATTAATCAATGTATAAAACTAAAATAAAATGTATTTTAGTGACACAGGACACAAACATGGAAGCAAGATGTATAATTAGAATTATTTATAACAATAAATTATTTCAATTTCTTTGACCATAAAGAATAACTAAATCCTTCAGGACAATGTCACATCAATGCACTGAACTCACTATGTTATCCCTCTAACAGAACCTCCACATGTTCTCACTGTAATTTCCCCCTCGTGAATGAATTTATGCTGCACTCATTTGAATGTTCGGGGGAAAATCAAACGCAGTACTCAAGCTGACTCACCTTTGTTTGAATGACGACTTGTAAGCGGTGACTCCACAGACAAGGTACGAAAATATGTCAGGCTACGTCAATAGCGGTAGGTCTTCAGGGTTTCTACTCCACGGCCGTTTTTCATACGGGTCCAAACCCCACCCTATCATGTGATTTCCTGTGGTCAGATGGCCCAGGATGTGAGTGGGTGTAAGGTGTCTAGGATGAGATCTCAGAACTGGATTATAGATGGCAGACATTTGGTGTCATAAAGCACCGCCTCTGTTCAAAGATGGTTGTTCACAGTGGACTTTCAGTCCTCTTTCAAAACATCTGTCTTCTCTGTCCAAAATGAACATTGGCATCCTCGAAAGAGTGACCTTTGACCTCTATATAAAGATGAACAGCTGTGTCTTGTCCCATTGAGGTGGCTCTTCTATGTTGTGCTATGTGTTTATAAAGCGGCTGTTTGGTTTTTCCAATGTAGAGGTCTGAGCATTCCTCGCTGCATTGCATAACACACACTATGTTACTAAGTTTTGTGTTTGGGAGTTTGTGTTTGAGATGAACCAGTTTTTGTCTAAATTTTTGGCTGGGTCTGAAGTACACTGGGAATTAGTGCTTGGAGAAGACTCTCCTGAGTTTCTGATATACAGTACCTGCTGCATAGGGGATGAGAATATTGTTCCTTTTGTCCTTCTGATCCTCCCTGGTTGAGTTTGATCTTCTTTTCTGTGCATCTTTGCTGATTTGATGAAAGCTCAATTGGCATAACCACATGTTTTAAGAGCATTCTTTATATGTGTGTGTTCTGTCTTTTTCCCTTCTGGTATGGCGTTATTTTTGTGCTGCTCGCGTTCTCAACATTTCTGCCCGTGCGCGCTCAACTCTTTCTCTACACCGTTATATTTGTGCCACAAAACCAGCCAATCACAGACTTGGATGCAAAAAAATATGATTGTCTGTTTTGGTCTCCAGTGAGCTCGAAATGACGAAATGCATTATCCCAGAATACATTTCGTCCAAAACTCAAATGAGGCAGTGGCGGAGGAACACAGAGTGGCAGAGTTTGAAATATTACTCTTTCTGGGTCACAAAATAAACTTCTAAGATATTTTCATGCGAGAATGGTGCTGTGTAAACTTCAAATGTCTGCTCGATTTATCAAGACATCACATATTTACAAATGTGCTCTAATGTTTTCGGAGATGTGAAAGGGGCTGCTATTGTGTGTGTGTATGGATAATAGCAAACATTGAAATACATTTTTTGCACGCAGCAATGCATTTTGTTCACTCAAATTTAGCTTTTCTTCGCTCAAAATAAATTTCTCCTCAAAATGCAGCACTTGCACCTGCTAATTTTTTTTACATGGACTCTATTTTTTTTATACGTGCGGTCAGAGTGGCACAAAAATAATGCCATATTCTGGCTTACAGGGACTGGGCACTGGGCAGAAAACAAGATTGATTAAAAAGCTTGAGTGGAAGACTGCCCCAATTGGTTAAAGACAACCAATTGGTCACCCTAAATTCAATTTGTTGACACTAGTGAAAAACACAATGTACAAAACCAGGTTTATACATAGGATGTAAAGCTGTTTACAGAAATACCATGTGAGATAAAATAATTCATTTTTTCTTTATTAAAATCTCCCAAGGGTGTTTTAACTTTAGTTTTTGTCTCAAAGTAAAAATAAATAAACACAAAGAAAATGAAAATTGTTGAACAGAAACTATAAAAAAACAAACACAATATTGCTGATCAAGGAGAAGAGAGAGCTTGTAAGCAGTTCTTCTGCATCAGCCTTTATAGGTGATGACATTCCTAATTTAGGAATTGCTCCCTAACATTGCATGGTCAGGCCTAAGGTGGGGTAGGCCAGGACTACAGTACTCCAAGTACTCAAAGTTTGTATCAGGTTACACTTCCTCTTTTTTCCCCAAGTGTTTTTTACATGTTGTTTTTTGCGTTTTTAATGAACAAGATTATATTCTCCAACATTAAAACAAACAAGGTCAGAGACTACATATGAAGTTTTTAAAAGTGCTGTAATTAGCTATAGTCAAAATTAGATGCCTACCAACTTTGCATTGTAGTTGCACTATAAAAATATGATAATGAATAATAAAATAATATTTTGAGTTGTATTTTTGAGAACTGCTTTTGGAAAAGCATTCAGTAATTTTTATTGATTGTAGTGCACTGTTTAGATTTACAACTAAATGTAAACATGTGTCTTCATGAATCTCCTTTTTTTATTTGAATGATTCTATAACAGAGTAATACAGTTGTATTGTAGTGATTTTTAAATACTGCAATGAAGCGAATAAATATAACTTTGTGTAGTACTTTGGCGTTGATCAGTGAAGAAATTTTTCAGTCATGTAAATTTCATTTTAAATGCTCTTAATAGAACATTATTATAAAACATAAAATAAAAGAGTTGGTCAACATTTTCACATTTCATTCTGACTGAAATATGCTACCAAACAGAAAGAGAATCACAGTGATGCAGAGGTTTTTTTTGTTTTTTCAGTAACAGACAAAATGTAAATTAATACACATTTATACAGGAACGTACGTACACCAGGAAATAACAACCATGACCTTTTTAATAAAATCTAAATAAAAAATGTCAAACCTGCTGAAATGAGTGTGTTTTGCAGAGTGTTTTTACCTCAAAATAAACAAGCACTAAAAAGACAAGAGCCTTTTCCCTTTTTAGCTCAAAGCCTTACATACGTGAAGGATAAATGGCAAACCAGGAGAGCAAACACAAAGGCTCAGAGTATTCAAAGAACTAAATGAACAAAACAATGAAAAAGGCTCAT